CATTAAGAAATCAACCAATAACAAATGCTGGCGAGGCTGTGGAGAAATAGGAACCCTTCTCCACTGGTGGTGGGAAATGCAGACTCGTGAAACCACTGTGGAAATCTGTTTGGAGATTCCTCAGAAAACTAGGTTTAGAGGTCCCATTCAACCCAGCTATCCCTCTGCTGGGTATTTTCCCAGATCTAAAAACATCATATCGCAGCGATATATGTGCACCTATGTTCATAGCAGCACAATTTGCAATTGCTAAAATGTGGAAGCAACCCAAATGTCCATCCACCAAGGATTGGATAAGAAAATTGTGGTACTTTTATATAATGGAGTATTACTCAGCTATAGAGAAAGATAAACTCGAGGCTTTTATGAGTAAATGGTCACAACTAGAGACCATACTCATAAGTGAAATAAATCAAACATACATGTGCAAGCACCGCAATGTTTCACTACTGTAAAATCTGAAAGAGTTAATTTAAACTAGGAGGTATGATAGACATCGTGAAATGATAGGAAAGCACTCAAAGGTAAAGGAAAACTGGGATGTGGGAAAAGAGAAGGGAAAGAAGGAGAAATTTTGTATGTACGTATATGCAGGATAGTTAACATGGCTGTTTTACTGTCTTGTATTTCTTTGCTGAAAGAAACTGTCAGTGAGTCCTTGGTTAATAAGCATTGCATGTCTATATCTGTTTTCATGAGAAACCACTTTGAAGATATCAATATGTAATACAACAAGCATTGTTAATTCCTTATCACTTTGTTTGTAACTCCGTACTGTCTGTGCTGTTCTTTTGCTATTTTGTAAAATGTTGTCTGTCTGTTAATGTTTTCCTCCTTTTATTTTTAAAATTAAAAAAATTTTAAAAAAAATAAAATAGCTGCGTTTCCTCAGGGATTAAGGGATTCTGAGTACAGGGGAAGGGTTTTAAAATAGTTTATACTCTCCTTGAACATTCACATAATTGTGAACCAGCTACGCATATTTACAACCTTGTAGGCAGAAGTTTACAGTTTTCGTCTTTGGTTCATCAACTACATTTCACATCTAATAAACATAATACTCCCAAGGGTAAGTACAGTCCATTCTTCCAGATATTGCATTCCTAAAATGTATCTTGAAGTTGGGCTTTTTGTGCCGATCCCTTTAAGGACCTTCTAATCACCTTGTGGCCCATCCACTCATTCAACAAATGTTTACTGAATTCTTAATAGCAAGATGCGTGCTTGCCACATGCCTACGTAAAACACCATCCCTGCATCATTTAATTTAATCCCTCCAGCAACATCATAACATTCTATTAGTGTACCCATTATACAGGGAAGAAATTGGCTTAGTCGTCTAAGAGCACATATTTGGTAAAAAATGATATTTGAACCCTGTGGAACAATACTATCTAGAGGCAGCTCTCCTTGGGATTAAGTTGAGGAAAGTGAGGTGCAGAGATTGACAAATTTGAGGCACAAAATGGCCAAAAGCTAATAAAAAGAAGCTCAATGCCATAAATCTGGGAAACAAAAATCAAGAGCACAATTAGCTGCCATTTTACACCTGCTAAGAAGGCTAGAATTTCCTTGTTGTCTTTTTGAGACAGGGTCTTGCTATGCAGTTCAGGCTGGCCTTGAGTTCACTTTATAGCCCAGGCTGGCCTCAAACTCACAACGGTCCTCCTGCCTCAGCCTCCTGAGGACTGTGGTTAGAGGAGTGTGCCCCATGCCCGGTTTAGAATTTAAAAATAAGTGAAAAATAACATGTGTTGATGAGGATATGGAGAAATTGGAAGCCTCATACATTGCTAATGGGAATGTGAACTGGTGTAGTTGCTGTGGGAAACAACCTGAAAGTTCCTTTAAAATTTTAACAGAAATGCCATATTGCGCATTGTTCTGATATATACCTATATATCTATATCTATGTCTATATCTATATCTATCTATCTATATATCTATCTAAAAACTGAAAACAAATGTTCAAGGAAAAACCTGTGTATCAATGTCCATAGCAACACTATTTATAATAACCCAAAGGTGGAAAAACTCAAATATTCACCCATGGATGAATGGATAAACAAATGTGCCTACAGTCACATATTGCATGATCCCATATATATGGAATATCCAGGTTAGGCAAAGCTCTGGAAATAGAAAACAGATTAACATCACCAGGAGCTGGGAGAGGCAGGAATAGGTAGCAATTGTTTAGTGGATATGAAGTTTCCATTTAAGTTGATAGGCTTATAGGGAAATAATTTTAAATAACATTTCCTTCAGTTGAGAGCTGGAATTAGATAATGATTGTAAAATATTATTAATGAACTAAACACACCAAGTTGCACACTTTAAAATGGTGATTTTTGTTATGTGTATTTTACCACAATTTTGAAAGATGCAGGAGGCACGACTCAGATTCCTGTAAGTTTGGGCCCTGGGAACACCTCCCTCATGGCGAAGTGCTTAGGATGATGACTTGGCTTATCCTCATCCTGCCCCTGCTAGTTAATAACATTTTCTCTGTTCATTCATTACCTCCCACGATGGTCTAATGCCAGGTGCGGAAAGAGTGTATATAACTACACTGCCCTTGGCATTGTGGACTACATTTGTTTCAAAAATGAACTTCAGAAAAATTTGCATGAATCTCAGGGCTTCTGTGTTACTGAGTAAACACAAGATATTATTTTATACATACTTACTAAACAAACATCCAGCTAATTCATAGACATTTTAAGTTATACACATACTCAGCAATGCCTTTAATAAAAAAATCATGTGCAAAAGTCTAAGTAAGATGTCTAGAATGAATCCTTTATGGCAAAATTTAGACCTCAGAAATACTGATGTTTGGGACTGGATAATCCTTCATTGTGGAGGAACTGTCCTATACACGGCAGGGTGCACAGCAGCAGCTCCAGCTTCTCACTATCAGAAGTCAGTAACACTCCTACCCTTTTTAAATTTCAACATTCAAAACACATTTATAGACACTGTCAAATAACCTATGGGAGGCAAAATCGCCCCCAAGCAGAAATCGCCATTTTAGAGTATTCACCTTAGCTAAATATTACCTAACAATAACAATAACAAACAAATCAGTTTCTGAGCCTTTACTTGCCAGTGACATACAGGTGTCACCTGTACTGCAAGTTATTATTGGATGAGAATCAAACCGATGGAAAATGTACTGTTGTGAAAAACAACTTTGAAGTGAATGTTCGTGATGCAGCTTTATAGGATTGTTCTAGGAGCATTTCTTCTATTATTTTGAAAAATATGACCCAACACATATTCTGGTCCAACACAGTGGAGAATTTGTTTTCTAGAACTGATGCAAATTTGATACACTCATCTCAATTTCATCTTTAAGACATCCTTATTTTCCTTTACTGAGTCCATTATTTTGTGGATCACATTAATTGTAACAGTCACTCACTTCAGAACCTCTCTTGTTTTCACTGTTTTATACTCAAATACGACATTTGAGGGCAAGGAATTTAAGAAAGAGCCTACAAAATGGCTTATAATCTTAAAGACATCTTACTTCAAGTGAATTTATACAGTCAAAATTCATTTTATTCCTGTTTGTCAGTGGAATTGCTTTTCTGTTTTTCTTAAAATAAGATCAGATTCAGTCTCCACACCAGTTTATTGGAATCAATGATTTGCTGGAGGATAAAATATTCAAGTCTGAACCAGTTGGTAGTGGAAGCTTTTCTAGTGTTTAAGGATTGTACCACTCTTGCCAGTAAGATGATACAGAAGTGGATACTGGAGGGTCCCAGCCTAATTTTCCTTGTCAGGTAGAATTAGGTAAATCAAAAAGACTTGGATAATCTTGAACTTAGTCAGCTTCACAGATTATTATCCAAGATAAGAATGAACCCAGACCTGGACAAGCCATCTCTTGTCTTAGGATTCATTTCATGTCCCTGCTAACTGCAGAAGCCACTGTAATTATGCCCAGTTGCCCTGAAGCTTAATGTTGATTATGCAAAGCAAGGAACATCTCTCAGGCTGTTTGTCCTATTTGGCTAATGGCTTCTCTAAACACTGTATCAGTGATCTTGGTCTTTAGTCTGATGCTCGAGTAACACTATTTGTTACCCAACTTTTTATTTGTAAAATAATAATTTCGGTTGTTCAGAAGTATACGTGTCTTAATAATTGAGTTTCGGGAAAAGCAATCGGAGCAATTTCTGTAGAGGCAGAACCAGGTAAACTTCTTCTAAGAGCTGCTTCTTCATGAAATAGCTCAGTATTCCAGAAGGAGAATGAAAAGAAATCTCAGTTTTCCATGTAAGATGGGGGCATCACATGCAGTGTGAAGGCAGAAAACATACATAGAACATTTATGCTGCATACAATAGGATGGGAATTAGGGTCAAGGGAAAGCACAAGAACACAAAAGTCTCCAGTGTCAAACTTATTCTCATGAATAACACAACACCAAAGTTAATTAGAAATACTACTTGACAAGATGTTGTGAATAATCTCATTTCTATATTGGGGAATCTATCTGTAAGCCAAGAAGAGTTGGGTAAAGCTGAGTTTGGGTAAGAAATTATGGAATAACAAATCCTCTACCCACTGCTTTTCCTCTTACCTATGTAAGCCACATCCACACGAAGTGCATCAGAGGAACTGCTTCCCATCTTGTTAATAGCATTTACTTTGATGACATACATTGACCATATGCTGGTGTACTTCTTACTAAAGTAACAGGAGTTGGGACCGCTGGTATTGTAGTCTGGACATTCATAGGTGATATTTTCTCTGTAAAGAGTAAAATATCAGGAGTAAATAAAATAATAACCAGTCTTATTTTTTTCTTAATAGATCAATATCACCAGCTTTCGGAAATCAGATGTTCCACGTGCAAGAACCAGGGCAGAAAACTAAGTCCCTGTGCTCTGCCCACATCAGTATGGAGTGAGGGAGAGAGTAGAGTAAAAAGAGTTCTTTCAGACTCAGTTTCTCTGCCTTTCATCGATCCTTCCCTTCTCCTGGTACTTTTTTGAGCTCTCCTGCCAGTAAATCTTTGCACTGTCAATGGCCAAGGCACTGCCATACACTGTAACGGGGTCACTTCAGGAAACTGGGACTTTCTGACTGGGCAGCACTATTGCACATACATGTTAAATTAGACTTGCAAAAAGATTCAGAAGGATCAAAACTAATGTCAATATACTTCGAGGGGTACTAAGTCAGCAGCAGAGTGAAGTGATTTTGAAAGCAGAGAGTTCAGCCTAAAGAAGCTCACTAGATTTCTCACATTTAAGGAGCAGAGGCTTATTCGATTTTGCTTACCAGTTAGAATTTCTAAAAAGTGTCTACATGACATGCTTTTGGGTTCTGGGTGGAAGGACAGCTTTGTGTACAACCAAGTGTAGTCACTGGAAAGTGGACCAGATGTCTCCACTAGAGATACATATTTTATTTTTGGAGGTAAGACACAGCTCCCCCAAGATTTCCAGGAGGGTCTTATTGTGAGTTTAACAACAATTTCAGTCACAGATGATCTTCTTCAGCCCTTGTGACAACATTGTATCTAAATATACCCTCCAGGAGACCTTGATCCTGGATCAGCAGTTTACTAAAGAAAAATTCTCACCATCTTTTTGTTACATATTGTTTATTTTCTTGGACATGAAACAAATTTGAAAACATCATGTACAATATGGTCAAGGATTTATGGTGCAAATTTACATAATCATATTGCAAAAGTAACATATTTACCAAGAAGAAATTATAAATGGCACCAGGTAATAGATAAGTATCTGAGATTAATTACCATTTAGGAAATACTTAGATGGGGTGTTGGGTCACCACCTGAGCTTGTGACAGGCAATTTGAAGCACTACTGATCTTGTATTGCTGCTCTGGCTGATGGGTTTATGTAGATTTAAGTTTGTAAAGAACTTCAATAGAACAAGGTGGGCAGACATATTAGACTCTTTTTCCCCGGTGGTATGAGCCTGACTGATGTAAATCCAGGGGAGTATGGCAATTATAAATCAGAACCAATGCTACTTGGGCCTGGTGGACACTCTTGGGGATATGGTAGGAGAGAAAATTGTTTACCTTTCCTTGTGGTAAGTCAGTGTGTAATTGGTGGGAAGTCCTCCACTGCTTCCCGGCCTCCACCAGCATGTGAACGTTTCCTTGTCAGGAGAACGACATTTAATGATGACAGGTTTTCCAGGAGGCGACTCTCCTAAAAAAAAAGCCACAGCCACTGGAGTCAACAATAGGGTCTATTCCACCATTGAGTATTCTACTGATAGTATACACAAACTGATGATGGCACCCAGCCCGGTGATGAATGAGGCTTTGGAGGGAGTAGATCTAGGAGAAGAGTGGTCAGAAATGCCGAAGTGTCAGCTTCTGGTAACTCTGTTCCCTGGGCTATATAGGTGTTGGTAGGAGAGAGATGACAGAAATAGATACAGAGAGAGAGATAGAGATAGATAGAGGAGGGAAGGAGGAGAGAGAGAGAGAGAGAGAGAGAGAGAGAGAGAGAGAGAGAGAGAGAGAGAGAGATTGCTTGTGGGTAGTGGTGTGTGTTCATATTTTGAGATGGAGATACCAACATGTGATGTGAGGACTAATAATTGACTGAAATTCAATTAAAAGTGAACCTGGGAACAAGATGGCTATATGCAGACTGAAGAATCCCACAGCAGATACCTTCCCACAGTGTAAAGATGACTATACAAAGAATTTTCACCAGCTACAGGCAACCTGTGCTTTGCCAATACAAATGCCCTCTGGTATATCTGCAGTCACAAAATTCCATTTTTCTGCTGTTTCCAACTGTACTCTGTTTTGACCTTTTTAATTTAATTTAACTTAATTTAATTTAATTTTATTTTATTCTATGAAAAAAATCAAAGCAGTTTCATAACAAAATAATAGGAGAATAACAATAGTTAATACAGTATACTTTGTTATCTTTAAAATAGTTGCTCAGGGTACATGAATTGGCATAAAATTTTTTCCAATCAATATTACCACAAGCTTTCCTTCTTAATGAACTAAGGGACACAAATAGTATAACTGATTTTCATTTTTTCCCTTTTCACTGCTGTCTTTCCTCTTTCACCCATCCTAATTCCTTTTTCCTTTTTGACAATTTCTTCTGATTTCACAATATCTATTGTACATTTTAGAACTTATTTACTCTTTCAGTTTATCATACCAGGGAGATAATATGATGTTTACACATGTGAGTCTGTTTTATTTCATTTTAGAGTATAGTCTCAATAGCATTTATTTACCTATAAAAGTCTGAAGTTTATCCTTTTTTATGGCTGAGTAATACTCCATTGTGTAAAAATACCATATCTTTTTTATCCATTCCTCAGTTGATGAGCATTTGGGTTGTTTCCAAGATTTAGCTATTCCAAATTGTGCTGTTATAAACACAGGTGTGCATGTATCACTGTGGCATCATGTTTTTAACTTTTCTGGGAAGATACCCAGAAGGGAAATAGCTGGGTGGAATACGACCTCTAATCTTAGGTTTTGAGGAATCTCCACATTGATTTCCACAGTGGTTGCACCAGTCTACACTCCCATCAGCAGTGGAGGATTTCTTTTTCCCCACAGCCCCTCCAGCATTTGTTATGGGTTGATTTCTTGATGATAACCATTTTTTCTGGGGTGAGATGGAATCTCAGGGCTGTTTTACTTTGCGTTTCTCGAATGACTAATGATGTCAAACATTTTTTCATGTATTTATTTGCAGTTTGTATTTCTTCATGTGAGCAGTGTGTACTCATCCCAGATGCCCATTTCTGGATTGCATCTCTGAGTTTGAGGGGGGCTGATTTTTTCATTTCTTTATATGTTCTACATAGAGGTTGTGTCTTGACCTTTTGTTTGTTCATTGTATCACTGTTTTTGTTTTTGTTTTTGTTTTTCTTCCGGTACCAGGAATTGAACTCACGACCTTGCTTTTGCCAGGAAGGCGCTTTGCCACTGAGCTAAATTCCCAGCACCGTTCATTGTATCACTGTTGCCTCCTTTATCTGGGTGACTCTCAGCTGCTTCTTCCCCTTCTTCCCCACCTCCTCCTTTTCTTCCCTTTCTCTTGATTACATTTAGCTGTGACTTGATGACCTTGTCCTACTGCCCATCTCCCCCTCCTTCTTGTTGCCATTTGTGAAAGTTGGTTTTTATTCTTTTTTTTCTGATATTTCTTCCTCTTTTCTCAGAATTTGTTTTGAGGTGAGATGGCAAAGGGATTTCTTATAATTCTATGGTTCTTTGTGAAGCAAGAGGTATGGTAAGAGGGAGGTCAGGTTCCTTCTGAGTTGTAACTAGTAAGATTATGTAAGAGCAGTATCTGCTCCAAGACTGTAACATCTGCATACAGTGATGTGAAAAATATGCCAAAGGGATAAAGCTCTTAGTTGTCTGCTCCCCAGGGCTCTCAGCACACTGGGTTTGTTGGCTGTTAGGTCCAGAGAGAAGCAGAATAGCCCTGGGAGTTTGCCCTGGTACTGCTGGGCCAGAGAGGCCAAGTGTAACTGTGTAACTCTAGCTGCTTTTCCTTCTTGCGAAGGAAGAAGGAAAATCTCTGAGATTCAACATTTAGTCGAGAAGTCAGGAGGAGACAAATGATCTCTCAGGTTTGCCCCAGTGGCTCAGGGGGTCTTTCCTGCTTTCTTCTACCTTTGTTCCCCATCCACACACAAGATCATAGGGCAGAACTTCTAATGAAGTACCAGGGCTTCAGGAATGGACCAGGATGGAAGTGGGGTCTCTAGGCAAGCCGGCCAGAAAGCAGAATACTGGAATGATATGGCATGGAGCACAGTGTGCAGCCTAGGATACCAGGCCGATGGTGTCCATCAGATCTGAGCTACACTCTGGCTCACGGGCCCCACTGGGAACTCTCCATGTGGGCCTGGAGTACTTTGGCAATATTTGTGATATTGCTTATCTCCCAGGAAGATTCCTGCAAGATAATGTGCTCTGGAGTCATGGCAAAAACGCAGCATTAAAAAAACGAGGAGCCAAGATATATCACGTCCAGGTACAAGATCTCTATGATGAATGTGATCATTATGTATATCTAAATTGTACCAATAAATATTTCTTTAGCAATTAATGAACAAAACTAGTGCAAAATCTTGTCCTTGTGCTTTCTGCTTTCGGTTCTCATCTTGGGGTTGTGGAGAAACCTCTCTGAGGATGGCAGCACCTGAGTTCCAGTCCAGGTGCGGCCAACTGCTAGCTCTGTGACAAACATATGACAAGAGCATTTTCATTTTTCCTAACTGCTTTGCAAGCCCTCAATGACTTTTCCCCCCCACTTGATAAAATTTCAGACAGCAAAAGCGAACAGGACCACCCTTACTCACCATTCAGAAGTCTGATGCTGAGAAAAAGTAGGATGAAAACCACTGTGGGAGTCCCACGCCCCTTCATGTCGGCTTCTTTTCCTTGCTATAGGAAATGAATCAGAGAATCCCTGAAAGAGAAGGCACCAAGCAACTTTTGTGAAATGACAGCCTGGTGAGGCACGTGCATTACTTTGTTCTGGGTGTTTGCAACTGATTCTTGCTCCTTGCATAATGTGAATGACAAAACAAGAGACAGGGAATGTGGGAAAATGTAGCATGGGATAGTTTGGCTCAGATGCATGGACTCATGCATGCTGGGAAAAATTTCACCACCAGAGGTCATCAGATGACAACCTAGAGAGTTCAAGGGGTGCTGTGGGTTGGCTCCTTTGCACACTCCCAAAAGACAAATTGTTCTCTTTTCACCCCACAGGCATTTAATAATATATCAACCCTTTTATGTGACATAGATTGTATGCGCTACAAAAGAACCATTTTATGAGTGCTCTGATTCACCAGCCAAAAATAATCCAGGCTGAAAAGCTGGAAGGTGAGAAGGACTTTCTCTGGAAGTTTGGCTGAGAAAGTTCCAGAAGTCTAGGTTTGGGGCATGGTTATGAAGCAAAGCCCACAACGAACTCTACTGACCTTCATATAGTTTTTTTCTCCTCTTTGTAAAACCTTCATAAAAGGAGATAATAGACTCTAGTAATAATTCATGTCCCTTGCATTTGGAGTATTAAGTAAAATTTGAACCTTCGGGGGTTGAGACTTTTGAGCAACTTATTAATTTATTATTTTTACCCTTGGAACAACTTTCAAAGCTTCTACATGTCCTAAGAAAAAACGGGTTTAAAAGACATTAAAAAAAGGACTCATTAGTCTTATTAGACTTCAAACAGTCTTAGAAAACAATAGATTTAGTATAAAATTCTCAGAAATAAGTGCAAATTCTCAGAAACACATGTCTTTAATTTCTCTTTAAATTTTATTTTTGCAAATCAAGGGAAGATATCCAGGGGCAAAGATGGCCATCTTGGGACATGTGCAATGCCTAAGTGTGATTCAATATGCCCCTAAAAAGAACAGATTTTTACCCATTTCTCCAGAGATGGAGGGTTGTTCTTCATCTCCCACTGCATACCACTTGATGGACAACCTTTGAAGGCTTCCTAAACCTACTGCTGCTTTTTGTGAGGCACACTCCAAATAGAAATCTTAGTGACAATAGAGATTTGAGGACCACCATGAAGCTCCTGTATATTGGGGATCTTGGGTCGATAATGAATCTTGCACCATTAATGGATCCTATGAAGTAGCTGTGTACCGTTCCTTAGGGGACCTTCCAGTTGCCTTGCCAGGATTCTTTCCAATGCTCTCCCAGCTTGCGCATTCTAAACACCTGCTCTCTCTAATGTCTCAGTGCCCTCTACTTTAAACCAGTGGTCAATGATTCCTAATGAGTTTTATATCATTCCCACTACTTCTGGAGGAGCACTTGCTATGGGGGAGACACTGAGCTAAGTACCTTAATCATTTGAATTTCATTGTCCTCAGAATAGCCCCATGGGTAGGTGCAGGTCACCAGCATCCAGTTTTAACAGATGAGGAAACTGAAGTGCAAACAGGTGTAGAGTGTCAACCACAGGCCCATGGGAAAGAGTACTGTATTCTGGTAAATCTAAGGGCATCTGATAAATCATCTCAATTTATGATCAGTCTGCGATAGATGGTGCAATTATTCTCCCGTCTGTTGAAGAGACAGAGGAGACAAAAGCAACTAACCTGAGGTGAACAACACTCCAGTCCTTGGGTAGGCATGGAATCTTGGCAGGGACAGAAAAAACCAGGGCTGAGAGAGATTATCTCAGCTACTACTTTATTTATGCTTCAATATGTCAAAAGCTGTCTATATTTTGAGTCTAGCTTCATTGGGTATATATATGCCAGAAACAGCTCTTTGTCCTGACAATTGGTGATCTCAGCCTGGCTTGGAAATGAGATTCCTCCCATGGAGTGAAGACTCTCTATAATATTTCTTTATATCCTTTTGGGCATTGAATCAAAATGCTTGAGATCAACATGCGTTAAATCATACCTTTCAGGTGAGATCAGTTGCAACCCAGACAGCTCTGCCAGAGCACAACTCCATATATTTTGAACAAGAAGCGCTGAGCTTGGGAGTAGGGTGGGCACAGGCAATAGAGTTAGGTATCTATTTATACTGTTTTGTATGTTGGGGCAGGATCAAAGGAACTGCTGAGTAAAGTTTTTCCTATAACAATCTTTTAGGAAGCATTTTACTGAAAATAAACAACTTTTCTTTTGGATTTCTAGAAACATATCTGGGATGGATCACTACACACACTTTCTAATGCCTAAAATCTCCATGCCGAGTTTTATTTCAATAATGAGTTCCCAACTTATTTTGCTTCTCAACCCCCAGGAAAGGAAGCACTATTTGGTAACTAAACCTTTGGAGATAAAGGTGGTGGACACTGCTCATGCCTAGGGAAGCTATATTGAATGTTAACCCTCAGCACATACTGGGTAAGTTGCAGCACTAAATTCCTCTAAATTTACTGACTAGTTTTTAGGGGACTCAGAAACTTGGATTTTATCTCTTTAAGTCCATTCTCCATTGCAAGGGCTTCTAAGTCCATTCTTCATTGCAAGATAGGTGTGGCCCTCCTTATTCACCAGTTTTACTTGGAGTGGAACATCCATCCATCCATCCATCCATTGAGGGCCCATGACCTGGTTTTCATGATGTTATAGCTGCAAATGGCTCCAAATATTTGGAGTTCAGTTAGCAAAATATCAACCTTGCATACCCAGTCCAAGGACAATCAATCATCTGAGGCTTTGCTTCTTGCTAGCTCTCTGGGTGCAAGTGTGGTTTAAAAATGAAGAACTTGGACCTGAAGACCAGTTCATAACAAGTCTGCAGCCCTCACACTTGCCCCTGACTATCTGACTTGGTTTCCTCTTTTCTGAATCCTGAGAGTCACTCGTCTTCATGTTCCTTTCCATTACCTTATTCAAGAATCTCTTCTCATCACACTATGGTAAAAACACCCCACGCTTCCTCGAGTTGCTCTGCACCAGTACTGATCCTATTTAGACTCACTCTTTCCAAAGCCACCCTTTATTATTTTGTTCCATTCAGTCAAGTCACTTCCACAGAGGCCAATAGTGGAGAAAGAGGTCTAGCAGTCCACACCTTGCAGCAGGTCATTTTGAGAAACTACAACCACTCTGCACACATGGAAAAGCATGGCCATGGCCCCATGGCCTGGCCCAAGTCCACTACCCTCCTTAAGGAGGGCATGCCATAAAGGGAAGTAGTGTGACTTTCTGAGAGCTCATAATGACAGCTCTGATCTCCTAACACCATTACTTCCCAGTGTTAACCTTTCAACCCCTTTGGTTAGGCTTCATCTGCATGTTCTGGCCCACCCAGCCCCTGAGGTAATCAATTTTGAAGGCCAGCAATCTCAGCTCTCACATTCTGTGGGACTTGCTCCCAAGAGCTGGGACCAGGTGATCTCTGTACAGCATAGTCTCTGCCTTGTCCTGCCTTATATGCCACTGTTCATTATGGCTTTTCTAATTCTAGAAAGGGATCTCACAAGCCAGGCAGGGATTCTGAGGCTTTATCAGCTATTAAAAACCTGAATCCTTGATGGAAAAGCAGGTACAGTGTAAGTCTTTCCTTTAAGACTGTCACCATATGGTTTATATGAGTCATAACTATTCTCCAGCAACTTATCACCCTTTGAATATGCTCATTATACCATGCAGGTAGGAAACAGCGCTAAATAGACCCCCAGAAACCCAGCTCTTGCCTCCGCCTGATTTCTGCCTAACCTTCCCAATAAGTGCTACTTTCCTTACTTTTCACACTGCAGATTGATTTTGCTTACTTTTGAACTTTATGTACAGTAAATCGAATCACATATTTTAGGAGTGTGTGTGTGTGTGTGTGTGTGTGTCTGTCTGTCTGTCTTGTCATTCCACATTCTGTGATTTATTGTTTCCCTTATGAGTAGTTTTATAAGATTCATTTTCATCTCTTCTCATTCACCTTCATTCATATTCCCATGAATGAAATACAATAATTTATACATTCATTCTGCTGTTGGTGGACATTTCAGTTGTTTCTAGGTTTTGGAGATTTGGGGCTATTTTAAGACTAACGAAGACGTGAGTGATGGGGAAACCCTGCCCTCCTCATGACCCTCCCCGGCTGCAGTTGCCCACTGTAAGAGGTTACCACACCGCCTGTCCTGCCTTATAATTATTCACCTAAATTAAATTTCTAGGGCTTGTCCTAAAAGTGCAAAAAGTCTCATTTCTCACAAATAAATTTTGAGTACATTCATCCATTGTTTTAAGGGACAGATAATATATTCAGGGCTGCATTTGGGCTTTACTACCTGTGGGTTCTCCTTACCTGCTCCTCTCCACCAGGGTTTTAGCTGGGCTAGGCCCAAAACAACAAGGCAAGAAGCCCTTGTTTCCAGGAGTCTTGCCTGTTAGGTTTTGGAAGTCAGATTTTTCTTCCAATACAGAATGTCTATATTTAACTTGGTAAACAAAGGGTGCAATGTGCTACTGGTGGAGAGAGGAACAGGAGGACTCAGCTGTTTCACACCAGGTTACAGATAAAGACGGTTGTATGCAAACTCCAAAGTTAATGGTCAGTGACTGTGGAATGAATAAGAGAATCAGTGAAGACCCAAGGTAAAAAACTGAACAAGACATTAAGATACGTGTGACAGTCAATTGTGATATATCAAATTGACCAGATTAGGAAACACCTAGCAGGTTAGTAAAGCACAGTTTCGGGCATGTCTGGCAATGTTTCAAGGGATGTTTGGCATGTAGGCCAGCAAACGGAGGGGGAAGCCCCACCAAAACAATAGCCCTGTAGCCGGCATAGAGTAAAAAGGAATGATGTTACGAATGCTCTCCCAGAATGGAACTTGTTTGTAAGTTGGGAACTTCATGTATACTTATGATTTCAGTAGCTCCCAATGGGTTGATTTTTTTTATCATTATAAAATGTCTCTATCTCTAGTATATTTGTGTTTTAAAATTTAATTTAGCTGGGCATGGTGGCACA